AACTTGAATGTTGTGTTATACAAGATGCACAAACTACTAGAAATTCTTTTATTTAATCGAGAAAGATTGCTAACGTAAGAGAAAAAAGTTTTGTTATTCTCGATAAAGTTTTTAAAGTTTACCTAATAACCAAATCCTTAATTACTAGATCTGCTTGTCGAAGAGGAAAAATACCTCTTATTGATGAAGTTCCCGAAGTTGAGTCAAGAACCAAATCTCCAATTATTAGATTTGCTACTAGAAGAGGAAAAAAACCTCTTTTCGATGAATATGCCTGCTCGCACCAAAACTCCCAATACTAGATTAATTATTAAAAAGACTAAGAAACCTCAAGTTGAAAAAGATTGTTTTGTTGTTGACTCGGGATGTATGATTCTAGACATAAATGTTATTGTTATTGCTTGTTTAATTCAAATAAATAAGTGTACTTTATATATATATATATATATATATATATATATTAATTTTTAATAATTTTTTTTTGTATAGCCTAAACACTCAACTAGTAAATAAATTGTAGTCCCACATAGCAAAGATAAGAAAAGTGAAATTGGAGCCCAAGAAAATAGAGTTCTTTGTCTTCATGATTGATGTGTTTTACTTATAAGGTTGGAATATTTGTGAAATGCGCAATAACAAATTTTGAAGTGGGTTGATTGGATTGATGTTTTGTAATTAAACACTCGTCACTTTTGAATTTATGTATTGTGTTTTTAGAATTGAAATTAACCATGTATTTATTTTGATGGTTCTTAAACATGTCTAGAAAGGCTCGATGATAAGTTCGTGAGTTGGCTAATCTTGCTGAAACAAAGTTATTGGATTTTGTCATAGAAGGATCATGACAACATTCCTCTCATACTTTGTTGTCTTGACTCTAAGAATGATGTATTTTTAAATTTCTAAAACTTCATTAATACGGATGTGCTTTTTTCAACTATGTAAACTTAGTCATCTTGTGGTTGAATAAGCTAGTGGGATTTTTAATGGTAAGTTGAAAATAATCAACCATGTTTGGAGCCTTTGTTTCTATTCATTGATGGTTTTATAAATAATCTCAATCGATCCGGGTTCAAATTTCTAGTCTCTCTCTCTCTCTCTCTCTTGTCGTCCAACTAACTTTGTACATGGCAATCTAAAGATGCAGGAGAAATTAGATAGAGAAAAAGAAAAGAACTAAACTTAAAATCTATTTAGTAAGTATCATCTCTTAACTAAATGAATTTTTTCCCACATTGTATAATTGACTTCAAGACAACAAACAAGTCAAGATTCTTTCTAAAGCTATTGGATTCCAACAAAAGTTAATCTAAGATGGTTACAATGACTCGCGAATTAACATTACAAGATATATATTCTTATCAAGGAATTACATTTGTATGCAATGCACCATAAATGTGCATTTACTTTATAAATGTGATCGAACCATATACATGTTTTCTTTAATCGAAAGCAATTCCTACCGATACTACCTAAAAAATTGGCAACTATAATTTTATCTTGCCTATTTCCTTAAATTCCCTAAACTATACAAAATGTATCATATCAAAATTACAAAAATTAATGCAATCATTGATGTTAATTCAAGACTTGGGAAAGAAAAGACATTAGTAATGGAAATAACAATTCAAAATTTCAAGAATGGATCATCAAATCACAAGTTTTCTCTCGCACTTCTAAGACTCGCAGAGGAGCCCTCTTCAAGCTTTAGTTACCGATATTGGAAGCCAAGCTAAAGTTCCAGTTCTTTCTTTTTCTATACTTGCCATAACACCATAATTATTTAATAATTCCGAATAAATAAGATGCACTGCAAAGCAATTATTCAATAAATGATGACAAACAATGCCACCATCAAATAAATTAAGATCCAAATAATAAATTTAAAACCAACAAGATTAAAATTAAAATCATTTCAGTACAATTTACAAACAACCTACTTCAATACACTTCACAAACAACCTACTTCAAGTATACTTTATAAAGAAACTACTTCGAGTATAATTTACAAACAACTAACGAATTAAAATTAAAATCACCATTATTTTATAAAAATTCAACAACTTAATATTGTGTTCACTTAATTTTTTTATTCTTAGATTCATGTGTTCTTTCTCTACCTCATGTGTTGCTATCTTAACCAACGAATGCTTCCTTTTTCATGAAAAGAGAATCTAACTCATTCTTCAATCTTTGGACCTTTGCAATCAATTCATTGTTTTCTTTAAGCAATAAATTTTTCTCTTATATAAATCTATATTTGTCTATTTCTCATTCCCAAAACAATCATCCTAGCTCTACCTTCTATGAAATTATCATTCCACATCCAATAACCACAATCAAGATTTTTATTACCATTGTGGGCAAAATGTATAAGACATTGATGAAAGCTTGAACTCGGATGCTTGTCACTCCATGAAATCCACCTTATAATCTTCAACCCATAATAACATATCATTGGAGGCTCTTTGTAATTCAATTCAAGAGTTTGTGGTGAAACCGCACAAATTAATCGCAATTTATCATCTTCAATTTTATTGGTGAGAGTAGAAAATTACGTGATTCCATCCCAAATTTATCTATAAGTTGACGATGTAGACGATGCACTCATCTAATTTAGGATTTTAACAAAATGAAAAAAAAATCACCGTAGGAGTTTTGGGATTTTCAAAAAATAAATAAAGCAATTTGGTTTGGGTTCTCACAAATTGTAGGTTTTTAACCCATAAACGGATGTATTCAAAGAAGATGAAGAGAAAAATTGATGAAAAGGATGAAGGAAAAATGAAAAAAAATAAGAGCTTCGAATTAAGGATTTTTATAAATTAGGTATTCTAGCTATTGAATAATCAAAGATCTTTGATTTATATTGCTTGTGAATCTATGATGAATAGAAAACCAAAGGCAAACGTATGAGGATTAGGGTTTTTTCATCTAGCGAGAGAAGAGAGAAAAAGCTAAGGGTTTTTAACTTTTTATACTTTTTTTTCCCAAATTATGCATGTAAAAATTTTGAGCCACATGACAAATTTTGTCCGATGTGTCATGCCACATAATAATTGTTTGCCATTTGTCATCACCAATACAAAAAAAATCACTAAATTTCAGTAAGAGGGTCCACATTAAAAAAAAAATTGAGGAGCACAAAAAGGTGATGAATAAGAAAAAAAAAAAAAAAGAGTACAAAGAAATTGAAGATTACAAAAAGATGATGAATAAGAAAAAAAATACAAAAACCACATTAAAAAAAAAAGTCAAAAACAGAGACTTTTTTTGCTATTAAACCTTTCAAAGTAAGATATCCGGATTCGTAAAGAAGAAGAAGAAGAAGAAGAAGAAGAAAAGGACAGTTGAAGTTCTCAAAAAATAATTAAAAAAAAAAGAGGAGGAAAGATACATGAATATTGAATCATGCATCTAACATTTTTTTTTTTCAAGTTGCTAGTGTTTTAGGTATCTCTTAACATCTCGTGACCTATAAATTAATATACAAAGCACACTGAAATTTTAAAATTTCTGAATTGTCATCATCAAAATGTGTGGAACTAGTGCAGTGATGGTGATGGCCCTCGATCTGGAAGTCAATTATATAAACTGTTGGTGGATGCAGAATATGTGAAAGAGATGCTAATTCTATTTAGGTGCGCAGAAATCATCTCCCATGATGACTTTCAGGAAATTTGGAAATTCGGGACACTGATTTGGCTCCAGTTTGCAACCTTTGATTACAATCCCAAACTCCAACCTCAACTGGTTGAAACTTGGGATTGGTGCAATTGAAAACAATGACAAAGGTTGTCCTGCGTGAGTGGCAGGGAACAACCCTGCCCATGAGATGTCTTACCTATAGAAAATTAGAAGGAATAAAGGCGATGACAATCACCTATAGTCTAAACAAAAAATCAACAATTGAGGCCATCTTGACTATCCATTTTACTTCAAAGGTTAACTTAATATTTTCTACCAAGAAATGAAAAGAGAGACTTTTTTCCTCAATTAGAAAAAGATGTAGGGAGTCGAATAAATAAGAAGAAAGCATCCGAAGAGAGTACCACGAGGGCAAAATTCGGTACATTTTTTCTTCAACTAGAAAAAGGATGTAGGGTGCCGAATAAATAAGAAAAGCATATCAAGAGATTACAACGAGGGCATTAGAGAAAAGTAAGTAGCCATGTGTTTTGACACCACTGACCATGACTTCCTTGAATATAATAGAGGTTACCTGGCTAGTATGAACAAGTGCAAACTAAAAATGGTGTGGTCTTTTCCATGAACAAAGAGAATCAAGTCACCAACTACATCACTAGTTTTGCACACACACCTCGGGTCATGCTTCGGAGGTGAAGCACTTGAGAGTTTCCAAGAGGTTAAGTGGAGACATTGGAGATCCCAAGTTAAGAGCAACCCAAAGAAAGCTTAATGGTGCAGACTGCAGAGCTTCGTCAGAATCAAGTAAAATCCATGTTATAGCAAGTAGGATTGCATGGATAAGGGCAGTCAATTTGCTTTACTATGTTACGGTTGAAGTACCAATCACCTACCGATTCTGCAATGGTCTGTTACAAGGAGTTGCAAGGGCAGTCAGCAGCACATTAAGAAAATTTAATGATCCAAATAAAAAAGCAAGTACCAAATGAAGCTTCAGTTGTGACAAGCACGAATAACAGCTCAACACCACAGCGAGACAGAAAATCATACATAAACATTTTGACGGTATGCAAATCTAACTAACATATGAGAGGATAAAATATTCTCACCTTATTGTTGATTCTAGGAGATGTGGATGAATGCCACGTCTCAGCCACCCATGTTTGGCAATGAATAAAGCAAGAATTTATGAACATCCCCCTTCCTTGTTTTGCTGGAAATCATTCAGTGCTTTCAGCAGAGAACTACGGAAGCCTGTACATGATAACAAGCAGCAACAAAGAGAAACGACATCATCTGCTTTAACTAATTTTCCGCTTCACAAAGCATGACCTCAAATGTACACTGCCAACTTAGGCTACCTGGACAACACATAGTTTACATAAGAATAAATTGTTTCTTTTTTCTTTTGTTTGATTTTCATAGATCAATGGTCGTTTTGAGATTTATGATGACAAGAATTATTTTGGACTTTTAAAGAACACAACCAATTAATTACCTTGAAGTATTTCGATCTGGCTAGGATTACAATAACGAAGGTTCATTCTGCATTTTTGCCAATAGCCTTGAGGATCTGATGCATCTGGTACCAAGATGTGTTGTATCTATATTTATTTTATCCTGTTAGACAGGTTCAGGATGATGCATAAAAAAGTTGCAAATCGTGACAGAATGAAGATATATTTTTTTTAATGAAATTACCTGCCAAAAATCATAAGCTGGGTTGACAAGGAAAATTGGGGTCATTGTGTCTTTAATGATTTCTTGAGGAAAGAGACACTGGCATTAAAATTCATGAGCTACAATCATGATTGAGAAGCAACAAGACTTTCATAACAATTTGATCACCAAAACCACATATCTAGAGAAAAGGGGAAAGGACCTGCCTTATATGGGTCAATTCTTGTGATACAATTCTTGCGCAAACTTTTCTCCACACCCTGCCAGCAGGACAAGTAAACAAATGATGTGAGCTATGATGGTTTGTGAATTATCTTCTTCCCCCTTTTACCCCTAATTTACAGTGACGGTTTAATAATTGTAATTGTCAATTTGCAATCAAAGAGCTTGTAGCCCAATGTTAATGGTCTCTTGCAAGAGATCATGGTTTCAAATCCTAGTAGCCTTGGGTGTGTGAGTTAAAAAAAAATTGTCAATTTGCACTCGCACCGAAAACATAAACATACATAAGTCAACCCCCTAAAAGATCACAATTTGCTCTCTGCTAGTTGACAGTGACAGTTTAATAATTGTAATTGTCAATTTGCAATCAAAGAGCTTGTAGCCCAATGGTAGTGGTCTCTTGCAAGAGATCATGGTTTCAAATCCTAGAAGCCTTGGGTGTGTGAGTTAAAAAAAATTTGTCAATTTGCACTCGCACCGAAAACATAAACATACATAAGTCAACCCCCTAAAAGATCACAATTTGCTCTCTGCTAGTTCAAAATGATAGAACGCACTAAGTACATAGTCTAATTGAAGTTTACAAAGTCCATACGAAACCTAAGAATTATCTTCAACTCAAAATGGCAAACAAATTGTCATTTTGCAGATCAGTATCAAAGTAATGGATAGTCAAATCTATTTTATCATTGATATGACACCAACTTAGCTTCATCCATCATGCAAGTCCAACGCATCATGCATGTTAAACACCAACAGAGAGAGAAATTGTAAAGAAAAAAGCAGCAACGATCCCATCTAGCTTTAAATCATGGAAGATGACATGGGCAAAACTAAAGAAGAGTAAAACCTGAAGCTGGACGACATCGCGATAGAAAGATCTCATGGTGTCATTTCCAAGAACATCTTTCCTGCAATCAAGAAAGTAAGAAGTTGTGTTTTTTGGGTGTATTTAGTCACTTAGAACATAAAACGACCAATAAAGAAGCATTACAGAAAAAACTGTTAATTGCTAAACACAGAAGATGCAGGACTTTTCACATCCTCTGGTGCTTTGATGCAGTATAGGAGACCCTTTAGCTAATAGCTATATATACTAATCCTGGAGAAAATTTATAATTGTTAACCTCATGTAGCAAAGAGTGGCTATGGTAAGAGAGAAGGAGACGAGAAAAGGGAAACTGAATGTTCAACAGGAACCCACAATGACACAAAAAACTGATTCAGACATCAACAAGTCACAGCAGGACATGCTAGCTAAAAATATTGGTAAAGAAAGCAGTGGTAAGTAAGCGAAAACATACTCATCAAGGAAAAAACCTGCATCAGCAAGACATTTGACAGTTGCATCCTTCGGCAAAAGTTCTCGAAAGTCATCACAATGAATAAGAGTTGCTAATCCACCAGCAGAGCAGCCTGAAAGAAGAGCCTGCAAAATTTTCAAAATTCATTAGCAAAAATAGAAAGTACTAAGAAAAAAAATATGCTGGGAAACAAAATTGTCTAATTGTAACCTATAAAAAAAAAGATCGCAGACAGAACAAAGAAAGAAAAAATGAGTGCAACAGAAATTACCCTCTCTAGTACTATTACAATTGGTGAAGAAACACACACATAAAAGTAAACCCATCGACAAGTGTCGAAAGCAGGCATGTTTCGAACACAACAATTTAAAGTATGATGAAGCTACCTGTTTGGCATTGGATAACCCGATAGACAACAGTTCATCCATAAGTGCTTCCCAGATGAGGTGGCCTCTGAATAGAAGTGTGGTACCATTCTTCAAGATATAAGAAGAGGAAAACATCAAAATAAAAACCCAAAAAGACGAGTCATCTTGGCAGATAGACATGATGAGAATACCTTAAACTCAGTTTGTGGATGGCCAGCAAAAGATGCGCCATCACAGTAACGTATCTTGACTTTATTCCAGTTAAAGAAATCTGAAGAAATAAAAATATAACATCATCAAATAATAAACTGGAGGTACCTAGCAAATTACTCGAAATGGGAATAGTCTTTTACCAGGATTTTGAGAGGGATGATGACTTAATATTCCAGAAAAGCGAATTTGGCGTTCCATGTAGTTGGAGGATCCTAATGCTGTTGATTTTCGCTGCAAACATGATGCTATCGTATTGCACCACCCTCCACCCTGGTTCATGGACGTCAGGACTGGTTATTACTCAGTTATACAAGAGAGATTAAAAAAAAAAAAAAATCAAAATAATACCTCAATGTGAAGAATCCAACTGTTAGAGCCCGATCCAAATCCTTTTTGGAAATCATAACCAGGCAAACTCCCATCTAAACAAACTGCAATCACAGTAGAATTACATAAAAAAACAACAATAGAATTGAATTGAATTGAATTGAGTTAGTGGAGAAGAATTACGGGCGCCTCTATCTTTGGCGTTGCGGAGCAAGGTCAGGCCGACCAGATTGTCTGTCGTCAGATCTAATGGTCGGGTGAAGGAAGAGTGGTGGTCTGTCCTAGAATCGAACACGTAGGTGAGAGTGAAGAGGATGATGGAAAAAGCGACAGCTGCAATTCCCCAGTACTTCTTCCCCAACTTTCTCCACCATAATAACAAAACGCCAACAACATTTCCCATTTCTCCTTCCCTTTGCCTTCAATTCAAACACTTCACTCACGCCCTTTTTAACTCTTTTAACTACTTGCTCAAACTCTAATCAATTTTTCCTTCTTTTTTTTTACCAACATTTTCAAATTTAATTCTTTTAGATTCCAGTTATTTTATGGGACTAAATGAGTCCAACCTTCTCCATTTTAATTTATTTAAAATTAAATTTTTTAATTTTTAAAATATCTGAACTCTTAATTTTTTAAAATTAATTTCATCCAATGATTTTCAACTATCATAATCAATCCTTAAATATTCAAATGTGAAATTTTATACACATATTGAAAAAATTTTAATTAATTTTCTAGAAAAATCTCATAACTTTCAAATTCAAAAAAAAATATATATATATTTATTTAATATTAAATTAAAAAAATTAAAGAATAATTCAAAATAGTCTAAAATTTTGTGAAGTCACATATAAATTTTATCCAATAATTTTTATCATACAATTATTTATGTAATTATTATTTTTTAAAATAAATAATAAAAAAACTAAAAAATGCACTGAATCTTGAAAAATTAAAAGTTCAAAAGATCCAAAAACCAAATTTAAAATTTAAAGATTTAATTTTAAATGATTTAAAGTTCAGAAATTTTTTTACTCATTTAGCAAATTATTAGAAATTATGATTCCTTTTATTTCAAAATTTAAGATGAATAACGAAAACAAAAATTGATACCTTTATAGTTTTCTGTTTTTTTTTTTTGTATTATGTTTATCAAAACCTGTTTAAAAACCAAATGCCGTTACTTCTTTTGAAATGAATAAAACAAAAATACATGCATCTCGAATTATAAAGTCAATGGCGCATATATATATAAAGAAATACTTTAGTTTAGAATCTGAAATCAACTACAACCATTAGAGTATGACAAAATCCAACAAAAACACAGAAAAAACATGAACATTGCAGCACAATTATGAAATTATTGTCTTGCGATGCGATCTGGAACATTAGCCATTTGATTGAAAGTTGGCTTAGATTAACATTAACACCAACATATTCTGCAAACAAAGGATTTCCTTGTCCATACATTCTAATAAAAATCATGAATAACACGAGAAGCAAGAGGTCATGGGTAGTGATCTCTTGCACCAGAAGGTCATTGGTTTAAATCCTAATAGATTAATTCTACTAAAATCCTCATAGATTAATTCTACTAAGAGCCTTGGATGTGTGTATTAAATTAAATAAAATAAAAAGCCATAGCTATAACATATTTTTGTCTCTTCAAGTCACATGCAGCATTAACACTCCAAAACATCGTTCAATGACATTAAGCAATTATAATTAGATCTCTCCTTTAGATCTTGTGGATTCCGCCCCTATTGATAATCACGTAGCTCATATCGCTCTCCACAATATGGAGTAATAAATCCAGGCATGGGGGCAGCTGCCGTATTGACAGCGGCATGGGGGCGACTTGTTACTTCATTGAGTACATTTAAAACCACAGTTAAAAGGCATTCCCATACAGATAAAGGTTGGCATCTCTATTCTCTAACCAGTGAGCAAGTGATTTACATCATATGAGAATTTATAATTTCATTAATGAATTGCAGTTAGATATTTGGAAGCATTTCTCAATAACCTATCTACCAAATAAACCTCTGTGTCCCAGGCTCATGGCTCCAATAAAATGGCCTAAACAAGAACATAAACATTGTGAGCACATTGGTTACCACGTATCCAAGTCCGATGAGGACCGAACTTTGAATATCAACCGCATGGGAGTGAAGTATCAAGAAGTAGAATGGTATGGTATAGTATCTGAACTCAATAACCGGAGCAGGAACTAGAACTGCAGCTGTAGCCAAGAAATATGCCAATACCCAGATTTTTGGTCTAGCTTTCCTTGCCAATAAATGACATAAACAACGAATCAGGAAAACAGAACCAAATAAAATCTTAGATGATGAAAAATGAAAAGATGGAAGACAGCTAGTACTAACCCAATGCTCCGAAGATGGAAAACCATGAATAGACATAAAGTGGGACAAGAAGGTACTTGGTTGACCAATGAGATTGAATGACCTTCCGCCAAAGATAAAAGGTATAATGCCGATTGTCAGCAAGGAGATAGGCATGAGCTATGCTGCAACAGTAATCAACTAAGTGATGAAACAGTGGCAAATATATAAGCATTGGGGCAAAAAAAGAAAAAAACCAATACATCCTAACACATTAATGGATGCGTCTAGTTCAAGTTGCAGTAGAGAAGCGAAGGGATCACTATTTTAATTTATTTTCCAAATAAGTTTGCCTATCTGAACTAACCTGTAAGAATGCACAAAGAGCGTGCTGGCAGCAAGAGCCACTGTCCATTGAAAAAAACAAAGGGCCCTTTTCTTCCAGAATGACCGAAACAGATGCACTACTTGATCTAAAGAGAAATGCAGAGGAGCCAATGCCAGAGAAGAAACCAGACTGAAATACAGTAACTGTGCAAAATGTGGAGAAACCACATGAGCTTCTTTTGCACCTGTGGCATTAAGAAAAAGAGTGAGAAACAAGCTCTTGCTAATTACGATGGGAGGAATATAGCATGACTCCATAAGTAGTACCAAGAACTACACTCCCGTTCCAATGGACAAAAGCAACAAAGGTCACCAATACTAAAAAGAAGGGGCTAAAGGAGAATAAAAGTTTTGACTTCATCTGCCATGATGTCAAACAGATTGCCTTAATTTCATCAAGAAAACCTGCAATATGGCACCAGAATTGTGTAAAACAAAAGCATGTGTGCAGAAGAATTTAGCAAAATTTCATAAATCTCTAAACTTATCAAACTCAATAATAAGTGAAGCAGAACCTGATGAATGGCTTGTTGAATAGGTGTGTGTACTCGTCCTGGAACTTTTGCTGTTATCCACAGCACCATTGGGCTTTCGTCTTCTCATGTTTGAACCTACTATGATATGACTGTTGGGGACTGAATGGTCAGTTTTCTTGCCTGAGGTATTTAAGTTGTCTACTTTCACAATCTCTCTTTGATGGGTCAAAGTAATATCCATGACTCCATTGCATGCAACGAAAAGCATCCAGATGATATTCGTCTGTCGAATGAAAACTGCAAAGGCTCCAAGCTGCATAAAACCCAAAAAAAAAAACAAAGGGATAATGAAAACCACCATTGAAATATCCAAACACAACATATTATGATTGTACCATAGAAATTGCACTTTCCTACTTCCAAGACACTTGGTGCATTGCTCCTCAATCAACTCATTTATTTCAGGTTCTTGAAGTTTACAGTTCTTGGTCATTGAGGTAATTAAAGGAGAAATTAATTGCATGGAGAAGCTAATTGCATACTCTAATAAATTTGTGAAAACTAAACAGAAAATCGACCACTATGTATAGTGACACCGTGATGGTAATAAAATTTCTACGGAAAATTACTTCAAACTAGGGACTGCTTAAGAATGCCAAGTCGTCAATGAGGTTCTGACGCTAGTTAAAACAACAACTGTATCCAAGAATTCTGGTAAATGAGCTAAACTTTAAGGAGCATCTCAGATTCTAATACTTAAAGTTCAGGTTCTCATTTCTTAAAAGGCTATTATGTTAAAATATTTGTGAAACAAAACTTTCTGGCCAACTTCCTTCAAAATTTCCCTCCTCTTTGAAAAGTTTTAAGCCACAAGGGAACGTTCCAGTATCAATCAAAGAATAAGAGAAAGAAGTCCACACTCTATGGATAAATAGTATAACAGATAATCATGTAAAACCGAGAAATGGAGCCAACTCCTTTACCAATGCACTTAAGTGGTATTTCTTCTTCAAGCATGCAAGATACATAGCAAGAACTGTAGTAAGTGATGCAACATCTGTATAATAAAGGAACGTGAAGAACCAATGGAGCGGGTACAGCGCCAAAACCACAGCAAAAAATGTTGCTTTTCTTTCATCAAGATTTGGTCTCAGGAGGTTGATGATCTCATATACAACAACACTACATAATATTGCCAATACACCATTCACAGAGCGAAGAATTGGAGTGGAGCACAATTCAGAGAACAATGACACCCCTCGTATGAAAAACATGCCTGGAAACAAAGAAGCAACATGGGCAAGTGAAAGATAGTACCTGCAGGAGTTTTTAAATTGCAAATATATCAACTCCGCTAATAACATAACCATCCTAATACATGCAGAGAATCAAGAAAACCTGAATTAAAAGAATAATCAATTCATTCTAAAAATATATATATATATCACTACTTTACTAAATTGAAAACTGGGGCAGCATAAATTAATCAGATTTTTTTTTCCTTTATCAAGCTAGAAATTAAAAGAAGCAGAGAGAAAACACATACAGGCCAGGTGGAGTAGTGATCATGGGGTCCCAACTTGAAAAATTGGCTTTGCAATATTGTTGAGCCTGAGGAATATGGAAAATCTCATCCTGCGCATGATGTAAACTTTTCTTTAAAAATGTGTGATCAAACATTAAACATTGAAAAGAAAAACAAAAGAAAACAAAGAAATCGACATGGGCTTTGGTGTTAGCAAGAATCTTACCATGTATGGTTCAGGTACAATTCGATTGACGAGAATTGATATGGGAATGACCCACGAGCTCACTATGAATGCAACTGCTATTCTACCCATCCCAGATTTAAATAATTATGCAATTAATATCTCTTTGGGCAAGACCAGGTTTTCGGAGAGAAGCAGCGACGGAAAACCGAAAATTAGAAGGAAAAATAGTGCCGGCGGCGAGACAAGGAACGACTGTGAAACCAGAATGGCGAAGACCAAAGTCTTTTCATTCAGCCCAATTACAAACTATAACTCTGCTGGCCCATTTATATTGCACGAATCCAAATTATTTCCAAGTCTTTCTGTTTTTGGGTTCCCTAGGCCCAGTTGGGTTTGTTTAATCCAAAAATGCAAGTGAGAGATTATTATGGGTTTATGCTTTAATACACCGTTCTATTTAATATTTTCTCCGTCTCAAAATTATAATTTGATTTTACTTTTCAGGCAGGTTGTAATTAATTACATATCACATCATCTGTTTTCAAATCACTTTCTAACTAATATCTTTTATTATTAATATTATTTCGATAATACTAATACCCTTTATTGGAATGGAATGTAAACAAGAGAGAAAATTTGGATTGGAAGAGTTAAAGTAAATTATAATTAAAGGGTATAACAGTGAAATCAAGTAATATATATATTTTGTCTTAATATATTAATAAAACTCTAATTAAATCTAAAATACAAATAAATAGAAAAATATGAATTTTGAACTTTCTTATTTTCCTTAACTGCTTTGTGAAAATATGAATAACTCACTTAAACACATTAAAATCTTTCTAGATTGTAATTCATTTTTTGTCTGCTAACTATTATGCACTCATGTCATATTTTAGTCATACTATTATAGACATGATCTTAAATGGAATGCCTATTATCATGCACACAAGGTACTTGATCAAAATTGTCAATGAACTTCTTCTATTTGGCAAACGTGTTTGGGGTTAAGAAGTCTTTTTTTTTTTTTTTTTATCATTCAATTATTATTCCATTCAAAACACACGATGAAAGAGTCAAAAGATTAAAAAAAAAAAATTTACCCAACATTCAACTAAAGCCAACAGAGTTATATTGGATGATGAAGGCGTTGCAGACTGCCAAGTGAATGTAAAAAGAGTTATTATAACTGAAGTTTACTAGAGGTTGAAAAGATGCTTGCTGGTTAATCAAACTCTTAATCACCAAGAAAGGTACTTCAAAGCTTCTCTCACAGGCCCTTGACTTTATTGCAGAAGATAATCTAGAGCTTGCGAGAGATTCCTTGGGAGTGAATCTTGAGCTCAAGCCTTTTGACAGCCAAGATTCGCTTCTCTGAATTCTTAAGGTGGTGAGTCTGTCTGCTCTTTATTAGGATTGATTTGCATATACCTTAATGCTTGCTCCAAGTTTCCATTTCTTACCTTCACTCTGATCCCCCTACACTGTCGTACTTGATGTTCTCCTCGACTCACTAAGCTAACTCCTTGACTCAGCAACCACCTTAAGAAATTGGACGTTCGCCTCACTATCGCGTTCATTTCTCAAATCCCATTTGATTAAGGAGTCTATTCTATATTGTCAGTAGAAATTGGAAAACTTCACAATCCTTGTATTTATGGTGAAATCATTTTCCATATTACATTGATCTAATTTTCTTATCCTTTCACTATTTTCTCTAAGTCAAAGTCCAAAAAAAAAAAGTCCAAACCACATTTTGTTGAGAGCAAGCCATACTTCACCACATCTCATAGCAAACCGAAATAGAAGAATAATCTATAAAAGTGAATACAAAGAGAAGGATGAAAAAGGAATAGTAGAAGAAAAAAAAAGATAATAAAGATCTAGTTAAAAAAAAAAAAAAAAAGGAATGGTAAAAGAAATATGGTTATAAGAAAAAATTAGAGGAGCAAAGAAGATGAAGAAAAAGGTTTTGAGGGTGGCCGTATGCTACAAATTGATCAGCGGCAACCCTAAAGCTAAAAAGAATATTTTAGGAAGAGAGGTCATAGTGTTTTTTTTTTTTTTAATTAATGAAATGCCTAAAATAAATAAGCTATTTAATGTGGTGAAATTATTTTTCAATAATTAAGAAAAAATGACGTAAATAAAAAAAAATTGATGTGGCGAAAAAAATACCTTTGTTTAAGAATTAAGTTTCAAAGTATCACATTTAAAGAATAAAGATTTAAAAGTGTATTGATTTGGGAAAAAAGTCAAGCAAACTAGCGACATGAGATCTATCCCGAGTCAAGTTATTTTTTCAAAACATATAATTAATAAGAGACGATCGATATTTTTGAAAACTTAAAACACAATTTTTTCACATCAAGTAACACTTTTGAAATGAGAGTGTTGTCATAAATGAATAGATAAAAGAAAAGATTGATACTTTAAACGATGATAAAAAAAATATATATATACGAAGAGATCATGAACTCAATTTTTCTTTTTTTCTCATTAGTTTTCAAAATAAATTATTTCTAAAATTAAAGAATTAGAATTTTTGTCCGAATAAATTGAATTTGAGATAAGAAAATGCCATATTTGGCATATCCTTCACATATTCATAAAATTCCATTTGCAATCTGCTTTTGAGTCCTAATAATTTTTTATGATGATAACCTAAGACTCGGATCCCGTGGTATTGAGGCAAAAGGTTTTTGAAGTATAGAAATAGATAGTTTCTTAAATCAAAAAAGTTGCAAAAGAAATATCAAGCAAAGTTTGTTGAAAATAGTAGCCAAAATAAAAATCATCATGAATTCATGAAAAGACACATCAAATTTATATCTAAGAAAATGCAAGAAAAAAAAATAAAAGAAAGATGAAAAAAAATAAAAGAAAAATAATCATTGAATTCATCAAGATTGAAGTCTACGACAAAAAAAGAATGAAAGAAGATTAAGATTTATGGGGGCAATATCAGTAGATAGAACCATAAAGTAAATGAGAAACTTTTTATGATCGTTAAAGTATTTCTTAGTCTTTTAACCTTTAAACATGTTTTAAATTTTTATATAATTTTCTCCAAAACCAGCCTATTTTATGTGTTTTTAAAGCCCTTTTTGATTAAAAAAAAAAAAAAAGTTTAGGCTGATGAACTTTATCGTCAAAAAGAAGAATAAAATTTTTTCGAAGCAAGAAGTTGAGATTTACGAAGTATAACCTACATTTCTCATACAGGTACTAATCTAAAAAAAAAAAAAAAAAAAAAAAAAAAAACAAAAGTATGTCACTACTATAGATGAAGCGGACTTGAACATGAAAATAGATTAGTATTTTTTTTTTTAAGTGGATTCATTACAAACTAATTTTTCAAAATATTCCAGTCTTAAAAAATATTAAGTTGTCACCTTGTTAAGATGACCATCTTTATAAAATGTTAGAGGTTATTACCCTATCAAGATGATTAATTCATCTTAAATAATGTTTGAATAATTATCCTGTCAAGATAACTAATCTTTTCAAATCGAGTCACGTATAGAGATGTCAACGAGAGTATACCTAGTTTATAAATTCAATTTTTTATCCTATCAATTATCTATTAAGAGATCATCATATAAATTTTTATCCAATCCATACTCGATTCATATTAGTTTATCCGTCAATTTAGTATCCATTTAATACATGTTAAAATTAATTTATCAAAAATATTCATTTTAGTCTTCATAATTTTCAAGAAACATTTTTTGATCCTTAATTTTTGTTTTTGCATTTTGTTCATTATTTATAAGTTTTTTGATCCTTAATTTTTAAATTTTATGCAATTAGATCTTTACATGTTAATACAAAGATCAAAATAAATTAGTGGATATTAATAAGATAAAAATGGGTATCCATACTCTCAAATAATATTAATGGATATATTTTTTTTACTCTTATCTATTTTAATACTTATTAAATATTTTTAATAAGTATTTATTAAATCGAGATAAAATAAATATCCATTTTATCCCTCATTCATTGACATTCCTAGTCACATATAATCACCAAATGAAGATATCATTCATTTCGAAAGCGTCACATGTGAATGGATATGTTAAACAAATGCAATTAGCAAGATTTGGAAGGCTGAGGGCTTAAATGCTAGTGGAGATATACAGGTTTGAGACTGATTTGTAGTTATTCAAAAAGAAAAGAAAAAAAAAGGGTAATGGTGTCAGGACTGAAGGGGCATGATGCGAGTGGAGAATTCATGTGACATGAGGAGAAGGCATTAAAATAATAATAATACAACCTACGTGCGACGTGAAGAGATGTAATAATAAGGCAATGACATTGACACCCTTTGACCGTTTCCTTTGTCTTAAAAGGCCATAACCCATAACGGCAACTGCACCCCCCTTGTTTTCCTCTCTTCCATTCCCACTCCATTCATTCATTCATTCTTTCCTAGCTCCCTCCAGCTCCTTACCTTAAAAAAATAAATAAATAAATAAATAAAAATATTTTTCCTTAATTTAATTCGATTTGTTCAAGATCAATGTCTTTTGCCCTCCTTTTTTCTCTGAAAGGTATAATCCAATCCAGTCCAGTCCAATCCAATTAATGTGCCAGAATGGAGAGAAAGAAAACGCTTACCATGAACTGGGATGCCCTGGGAGACCATGATCATGATGATGATGAACGTTTCTTTGAGACCTACGACCGCCTATCCTCCGTTGTTCCTATCGATTTGGCCTCTTCTGGTTCCGACGATGACGATGATTATGATGACACCCGGCTGTCCTTTGCCTCCGCCATTTCTTCCCTTTCCACTACTGAATTCCGAAACTATGCAGCTGCTACCTTGTCCCCCAAGGATGCTTCCATGGCAGTTGCGATGTCCCCAGACTATGATATCTGGATGGCATCCCCTGGATCCATTACAGAACGTCGGAAGCGTCTCCTTCAAGGCATGGGCTTGAATAGCAATAAAGAGCTTCTTAAAATGGCAAGTAAAGGGTTGGTGCGTGATGTTACCAAGAACAATTGTGTCGTCAAGGATGACGGTTCTAGTATTGATCACCATGATCATATTGAAGACTCCAAACAGGAGCCTTCCTCTTCAGTATCGCTACCCGTTCTACTTGTGCGTTCGAGGTCCGACAGTGATATAGAATCGTTTAGCGTTGAGAAGAAAAGGAAAGAAGAATTACTTGGGTTGATGTCGAAGCAAAGACTTACAAGAACGTCGTCAATGATAATTGTGTCTCATGGTCGACTGTTTCCGTCTCAAGATTCAAACATAGTCTCGCCCAAGGATGCACGAAGGGAACGCTCAGTGGCGCACAGCAGCGCATTGACTTCAATATTATCAAATAGCCGGTTTGGGGCTTTTTTCTTGATAAAGAATTTGGATACTGGAAAAGAATTTATTGTTAATGAGTATGGTGAGGATGGGATGTGGAATAGGCTCAGTGATCTACAAACAGGGAAGCAATTGACGATGGAGGAATTCGAAAAGTGCGTTGGCCATTCACCGGTTGTCAAGGAGCTGATGCGGAGAGAAAATGTTTCTAGATTGAACGGTATTGATCAAGAGGGAAATGATCGAAAAATCAGTGCTAATTCATACCTTTCTAAGAGTTTGAGAATGAGCAAAAGAAGGGGGGCGGCTCTTTTGAAAAACATAAAAGGTGTGGCTTACTCTATGTCTATGAGCGGATCGTCAAGAATTCAGGATCCAAAACCGGAGTCAAAGTTGAGCAAGAATTCTGCCTCATCTGGATGGATAAAGGTTAGGCAGACAGGGAAATCGTACAAGGAGCTAAGTGCTTTACATCTATGTCAAGAGATTCAGGCTCACCAAGGATCAATTTGGACCATTAGGTTCAGTTCAGATGCACGATTTCTTGCAAGTGGGGGTGAAGATAGGGTTATTCATATTTGGGAAGTGCAAGAATGTGAAGTTATGTCATTGCATGAAGGAAATCTTACCCCACTTCATCCATCATTATGTAGCTCAACTCCAAGTCTAGGAGAGGTCTCGCCAATGTCATCAGAGAGGAAGAAGAAGTCGAAGGGTTCCTCTAGCAGGAAAGGTTATTCGATTCCTGAGTTCGTCCATGTGCCAGAAACTGTGTTTTCGCTATCCGAGAAACCAGTCTGCTCTTTCACAGGTCATCTTGATGATGTCTTGGACTTGTCCTGGTCTAGATCTCAGGTTAGAATCAGAACATTCTCTATTAGTAGTTGATAGAATATAAAGAAAACAGACGAAGGAGATGATTGCTTTGGCTCTTCAATTTTTTAGTATAAAATCAAACCTGTTCAAGTCTGAGATGCCTATAATGTGAAGATCAACCATCATAAAGAGTGTTCCTATCTTCGACGTCAACATTCGGATTCCGACTAATTAGGAAATACTCCTCATCCCATAAACATATTATATTTAACCTGTGGGCAATTTTATGGATTTTTCAGCAGCTGCTTTCATCTTCAATGGACAAAACTGTTAGGTTATGGGACATGGAATCCAAGAGCTGTCTAAAGTTGTTTGCTCACAATGATTATGGTAAGATGCCCACCTCTTGCTATTTGAACCTCAGTGTGTTATTGTTTTCTACACAACTAATTAATAATTATACTGGTTTTAATCGTTTGTTTGGCTTGGAAGTGACTTGCATTCAGTTCAATCCAATGGATGAAAGATACTTCATAAGTGGCTCCCTTGATGCAAAAGTTCGAATCTGGAACATACCTGATCGAGAACTGGTGGACTGGGCAGATCTTCATGAAATGGTCACTGCTGTTTGCTACACTCCTGATGGCCAGGTCTAGCTAGCTATCCCCTCTTCTGCAGTACTAGATTTTCTATGGAAGTACTTAATTCAGAGTTTGGATAATCCTGTCATTGTTGGCTTCAGAGGCAGAATTGAACTTGCAAACTAACATTTTTTCTAATGGGAAGCCTGCTCAGAGCTGAATTAGTTTTATGGTCCATGATAACCATGGCCACAGTTCTTGATGTTTTTCTGTTACTTGGCGAAATCCTTTCCATCACCTGGCGCTGTGACACTCCATTCTCCATTTCTCCTCCTCCTTGTATCACATTTCTAGTCCGCCACGCGGAAGTTTGGTTCTTCCATTCGCAACTTCTTATCACATACACTGTCTTGCTTAAATGATAACCTCATGAGACATGCATAAATAAACATGATTTGATTTTGGTCTTGACAACTTGTTACTTTTTGTGCTCTCTGTGATTTCAGGGTGCTCTCGTTGGTTCACATAAAGGAAGTTGTCGAATGTACAATGTGGAGGGTATGAATTCTTGTGATAGATTATTTTTTGAAACAGACATGTAGTTTATCCTCTGATAAGAGTTTAATATGCCTAAAATTGTTCCTGTACATGTCCTATAGTGATTGAATTTGAAATTACAACCATGGATTTACCCTTTTTACCAATTTATTCTGTTGTTTATAACAATTAATTATGTTAATATGGTGCACAGATTGCAAGTTGAACCAGATGGAACATGTGGTTGTACAGAACAAGAAGCGGTCTCAAACAAAGAAAATAACTGGTTTCCAGGTAATCCATCAATACCTTGTTGTTTAATCTAAGAAAATCGTATCTTCTTTGTGCATTTCTTCTGCATTACATGCAAAATTACTAAGTTCGTACCTGGGTAGTTTTCACCAGGGAATCCGGCTGAAGTGCTCGTTACCTCTGCTGATTCTCGTATTCGAATTTTGGATGGTTCAGAAATTGTCCATAAATTCAGAGGTATGGCCCCAAGTCATTAATTAACAGCATGTACATCTCTCTGTTCTAGGGAATCATAATTTGTTTGTGTATGCTAAATCATACGTACTCCAATGGAAATGTTCATTTGTTTACAGGTTTTAGAAATATCAACAGCCAAATTTCAGCTTCATTCAGTTCAGATGGAAAACATGTGATAAGTGCCAGTGAGGATTCTCATGTATACATTTGGAAGCGACAAGAGCCTCAGCCTCGAGGAGGTACAGGAAAAGGCAAGAGTGTGATCAATACTCGATCTCATGAAAACTTCCAGTGCAGAGATGTATCAGTAGCCATCCCATGGAATGGTACAGTAAAGGGTGATCCCCCTCCATTGCAGATGCATTCTAAAAGGCAATCAAAACGATCTTCTGCCCCCTCACAACCGCCATCGGCCAGCAATTCTCCCACCAAAGAAGATGCAGCTGTAAATAGTAAGCGACATTTATCGCCTTCAGCCAATGAGTCACCCACTAGAGAGGAGAACTCTCCAGTTAAAAACAGCAAGAGACAATTGCCACCTCTTCCAAAGAAAAACAACATAGATCGATCTCAAACTCCTCCCGAAGAAGATCTGTCTCCAATCTCTCGTTCGGATTCTGGCCTTGGAGAGTCATTTGCTTCAAACTCCTCTTCAATAAGATATGGTGATTCACCTTCTATTTCTGCTGCTCCTACACCATCTTCTTCTTGGTCTTCCTCTTGGTTATGGTTTGATGGAGGTAGCCATGCGAACCAAACCGTCCAAGCAACCGCATGGGGCTTGGTGATTGTGACAGCTACATTAGGAGGCGAAATCAGGACTTATCAAAATTTTGGTTTGCCTCGGAAGATTGGCCGCCAAGGGAACCTATTTTGAGGCATGACATGATAGGCTGTTTTTTTGGTATTGTTAGCGAAAGTAGAAGCGTAATTTGGTTTTAAAGCTTATGCTTCAAGCATGATGTGCGCCGGCAGAAGACTGTTAGCTAGTAGAGCAGAATTAAAGACCTCTTATTGTAAATGCCAAACTTGATCATCAGTCAAAGTGGCCGATATCAATTATTAGTTTTATCTTTTTTTTTTTCTTTTTTTTTTTTTTTTTTTTTTTGCAACTGATCATTCTTATGGAATTTAATCAACTTTTGACCTCCAAATTCCAATAAATACTTTCGAAAGAGTAATCAAAGTAAAGAACACATTAAAATAAGGAAAAAAATGTCCGCTAACTGCTGCCTGCTCTGCAATGTTTTAGCCCAGCCACTGATATTTGACAAATCTCAGTGGTGTAAGTTGAACTTAAGGAAACAGAACAAAGAAATAGGATTCAATGTCTGTTTTTCAACAGACATCTCTTTGCTATAAATATTATAATGTTTATCGGATATGTACCACATCAGATTACTTGAATTTATAGTACTATACTATAGGTGTTCGAATTCCAAACTGACTCGCATCCCTAAAACCCCTCTCCAGTGCAGCATCTCTATGTCTGAGTCTGAGTTTGTCCCTCAGAAATACGAATGGATCTGCAAGAAGAGGTTTGGTCATAATATCTGCAACTTGATCATTGGTAGAGAGGTGCTGGACTTGCCTCAATTCTCTATACACTTGATCACGAACAAAATGAAAATCCACTTCATTGTTCTTTATTCGTGCATGAAATACTGGATTAGATGATATAAATGTTGCACCCAAATTGTAACACCAGACAACCGGTGGTTTGTAAATCTGAACTTCCAGCTCATTTAATAATGATTGCAGCCAAATCAATTCAGTTGCAACTATAGATCTAATTAGCCATCGCACTTACAAAAATGATTGTGATCACGATCGTAAAATAATGTTATGATAACCGATATTATGAATACTCGTAGTAACAATGAATAAATTTATTTTAATTAATATATTTTTAATAGTTTCACTAGTCAAGCATACTAATAACATCTCTACTAGTTTAATATGATATAATAATAATTGAGTTTATTATAAAAAGTAGTTAATAACACTTCAAATAGATTAATATCATATAAAAAATAATAAAATATATTATAATTTCAATATACATATTATAAAATATTCATCTCTAAATAGTTAATAACTAAATTATTTCTTGAAAATAAAAGGACTAACTTTTAATTTATTCAATCAAACTATCAAAGCCTACAAATAAAAAAAATAAAAGGATCGACTTTTAATTTTATTCAATCAAACTATTAAAGCCTGTAAATAGAAAAATAAAAGGATCGACTTTTAATTAATTAATTAATTAATTTTTTATAACCTACACACTCAAGGCTCATAGCAGAACTCTAATATGTTAGAATTTGAATTTATGATCTCTTGTAAGAGATCACTACCATCAGTCGTAAGCTTTTTGGTACTTTTAATTTATTCAATAAAATTATCAAAGCCTCGTAAATAGAAAAATAAAAGGACCGACTTTTAATTAATTAATTAATTAATTTTTTATAACCTACACACTCAAGACTCATAGCAGAACTCTAATATGTTAGAATTTGAATTTATGACCTCTTGTAAGAGATCACTACCATCGGTCGTAAGCTTTTTAGTACTTTTAATTTATTCAATAAAATTATCAAAGCACTGTAAATAGTATTTGATTTTTATTCTCTAAATGAATCACATGGGTTGCAAGTTGCAAGTAGGGTCTTTGTCTCTCTAGTCCTGTCTTTAGCTGAAATAGTTTTTTTTTTCTAATATAATTTATGCAACGTTGTTATATAATGACAAATAACGACATTACATAATGGTAATATCGTTATTTTTTATTATCTAAGTGAAATGATTTTAGAGCTCTCATATCGTCGAATAATAGTAACGAAGTGCCTTGTTACGATTATATAACAACGAGTTGTTATGTTATGTAATGATCATTTTTTAAAACTATGGTTACAATAGCTCGTATTCGATTCGTTGAAGAACAAAAAATTTTCCATTGTTTCTTAGACGACCGAGCATATCAAGTTCTTACCGAATAGATTGTGAAATCCCTTGTTGTTGTTGTTTTTTTTTTTTTTTTTGTCATCTAGACAAGTTATCTAGTCAACATTCGAGAAGGCTTCCAAGGTCAAAGAGCTCTTTGTTGTGAATTGAATTCCATGCTTTAGAGTATCATGAAGACATCTAAAAACCTGTTTCGGTGTGTTAGCATCATTAGTGTCATGTTAGTCGGTTATATGTCCGGCATCATCGGCATCTATATTATAGGGTCAATGACGGTTAGATTATAAGCATGATTATAGGTTGATTTGATTGTGATTGTACCGCTTTTCTTTCCATTATCATAGGCTCTAATTCGTGTGTGTGTGTGTGTGTGTATGCGTGCGTACGTGCGCGTGTGCGCATGTGTGTAACCATCTACAATTGTCAACGAAACATACACACAAACTTTCCGGATTATAACATGGTATCAAAGCCATGTCTCCTCTCTAAATAACCTTATCTCTCGTCTCGATTTTTGTATTTCTTTCTCACGATCTATTTCTTATACTTTTGCCCCATTTTGTCTTTTTTCTTCGATTCTTTTTTTGTTCAAATTCTGTTTGTTTCATATTTGTTTAATAATGGACAAATTCGAGGCTCTCAAGCCCATTGCCACTACTTTAACAAGAATACACTATAATTTATGGGTTCAAGGTATGAAAAGTTTTTTGATTGGGCGTAAACTCGGTGCATTGTCACTCGGTGACATTGTGAAACTAATTCAAGAAAAAGATGAATCTCGCTACCAAATTTGGTGATTGACTTGAAGGGATAACAAGAATCATCAAATTATCACTCGGTTTTGCAATACTTAGGTTTCGTCCATTCACATCCGAGTTTGCAAATTATGATATTGCCAAAGAAATCTAGGATTTCTTGGCTAATCGATACATCAATACGAGCTTTGCTCATTATTATCGATTGTGGATATGTAATATCTCGAACCTACGAATAAATGAAATAATATATATTAAATATATATGAAAATTATCTTGTATTGAAAGAATAATTGCTAGAAGGGTGCTACAATATTCAATGCACTTAAGATAATTTTTATCGTGCTTAGTTAATATTTTATAAGCTTTTCTATGCATGAATAGTACTTTTTATGCAAAATAATTGCTTTGAATATTTAAAATGAGTGTGAAAATTATTCTATGAGAATAAAAATATTGCTAGAGGGGTGAAAGAATGTTTCATGCACTTAAGTGAATTTTTTTGTGCTTGGTAAATATTTTATGTGTGAATAGTATACTTTTATGCAAAATAATTATTTTGAATATCTAAATGTGTATAAAAATTATGTGATTGAAGAATAAATTATTATAGAAAGTGTATAAATTTATGGTGAAAAGAAATTATTTTTTAAAAATATGTAGAATTAATTACATACATAGGGATTTAATTGCATAAGGTTAGGGACCTAATTGCATAAAATTAGGAATTCAATTGCATAAAATTAAATGCTTTATCCCTCAAATAAGTTTTGAAATAAATTTAAAGAGGCATACGGATGTTGAAAAAGCCTTAAAAAAGGACTAAAATAGTTCATTAAAATAAAAGGGATTAAAAGTAGGGATTAAATTGCAAAAGTGTGATGAATCAAGGAAATAAAATTGACTTTTTTAGCCAATTCTTTCCACCTTAACCTACCACCTTACCCCCAAAATTAATGAATGTAATAATTAAATACATAAATGGAGGGCTAGGATTTAAATAAGAATGGATGGTAGAGATTTAACCAAATGAAGGGCAAGGATTAAAAGATGGATCAAGGGTGGAGATTAAACCAAATGAAGGGTGGATGATATGGACCAACGAGCCTTGAAATTCATGAAATGGTACGAGCATGAAAAAAATTAAACAAAACCTATTGACCTAATTTTGAGGTTTTTTAGATTTACTTCGATGCCAAACGGACCAATGACCAAAACTCATTGGCTTTGCCTATGACTTAGGGGTGATTTTGAAAAAAAAATATCGTTTAGGCACTCAAAATTAGCTTTACGTTGTTCGACATTTTTTCTTTACTATTTTTAGATTTTTAGTATTTGTTTTCTTTTAGGGTTTTGGTCGAAATTTACTATTTATGTATGACTTTCGAGTAGAAAAAATATCACTTTTCTTAGTTAATAAAGTTTTATGAGAGAGCATCTCGGTTTTATTTTAATTTTCAACATTATTTAAATCAACATAATTGAAGTCTATTTCCCGGTATTTGTGTGCAATTCAATAGGTTATAGTAAACCGTCATTTGAATTTTAGATCAACGATAATTATCTTCTTTTTAGTGAGTTTCGCTAAGTCAATTGGTATCGAGTTCAATCATCGCCGTTCGACCATGCTACCAAAGAGACAACAACGGCGAGAGTGAGACGTAAAGAGATCTATGAGTGTATTGATATGGTGAGTTTAGAGCGACGAGGTTAAAGTAGATGAATGATATAATGGAGCGATTACTATAATAATTAACACGAGTAGATAGGGCAGTGGCATAGGAGATGGGTGTACCGACAATGAACGTAGGCAAAGGTCATAGGAAGCGGACCCAAAATCATAATTAGGAGGAATCGAGGCCGACCTTGATGGCGAGGAGGATGATAAAGACGTTCCACACGTAAAACGAGAGGGTTCTTGTGAGAGATTATGATAGTAGGAGGTGGGAGAATGGTATGGGAATGAAGATTCTTGAATTTTATGGTACCCTTCACGTAAAAGAGTTCTTGGACTAGTTGTCGATGGTGGAGAAGATTCTAGAGTTTAAAGAGGTTTTTAAGGACAAACGAATGTCTTTGGTTGAATCAAGTTAAAGCTTTTGGTTAAATTGTTGTGAGATTATAAGTTTTATTTCTAAGTTTATATTATTTAGGTATTTTATGTTTTTTTTATATGATTGGTTTATAGTTATATGATTAAATTGATTAAAGTGCATGCTAGTTGTTTTTCATATTAACTTATTTCTAGCTAAATATTCAAAATCGTATAATTGCTTGTCTAAACTTGCTCGAGGTAGTAACTAAAGGTTGATGATTATTTTTCACATTTTTATTCAATTCCTTATAAAACATAGAACTAGGTTACATTTTCTTTAACGCTTAGGAAGTGACTTAACTTCACTTGTCTTTCTTTAATTAATGTTGTTATTGGATTAAATTTATCTAACACTTAATAAGTTGTTTAGTAGCTAGGAATTAATCGGATATCGTATATTTGGTTAACGAATAAGTAAGAAAAGATTGGGGATAACATACATGTTGTTATCTTATAATGAAAATTCATGTTTAGGATAAGTTAATTATTTAATTAATTATCGGTGACCAAATTGAAAGTGGATACCGAAATGCAATCAAGGTTTTCTTAATATTGCTATTTCAATTTACTTATTTGTTTTCAAGCATTCCAAACACAAAATCCTCTTTTTACACTACAAAAACACTCCACTAAAAGAAATGATCAATTTAGCCTTTTTCCTTATGGGTTCGACCCTTACTTGCCCTAATTACATTATTGTGATTGAATGCTTTGTAAGAAAAATATAAATTACTAATTTATTGACGCGTACGACATGTCATTAGTTACCTTCCGAGAGAAAACTAAGTTTTCTTCCCTTTCTAAGTTTCCCACTTTGTCACTAATTCATCTTCTTCTTTTTTCATAGATCCTACTATTGAATTATTTCCTAGTACCAATACAAGTTCAATAAGTGAGCTTAGTGTTAATTCTCCTACCTCTAAACCTCTTCCTATTGAAACTATTCCATATGTCGAGTCCGCATTTAAATCCACCATTCGTCATAACACTTGGTAAGAAAAGCTCCTCATCTTCTTTTTAATTACCATTGCTATTCCGCTATTGTCATATTACATGAGCCTCGCATTTATTGTAAGTCTAACACTAACCTTTTTTCACAATAAGTTATAAATGAAGAACTTCGGGCATTAGAAAAGACTTTTACCCGGAACCTAGTCGATCTTCCTTTTGGTAAGACTCCGATTGAGTGTAGATGGGTTTATAAAATCAAAACTCATTCTAACAAATCTATTTGAATGCTATAAGGCATGATTAGTCACCAAACGCTATACTCAAGAATATGGTATAAATTATGAAGAAACCTTTGCTCTAGTTGCTCGATTGACCTCTTTCGTAGTCTATTAGCCATTGCTACTATTAAACAATGGTAGCTTTTTCGGATGGATTTCAAAAATGCCCTTCTTAATGGTGATTTACAAGAAAAAGTGTTCATGCATCCTCCTCTTGGTTATGCTCATTCCTCTCATAAGGTTTGCAAAATTTAACGAGCCTTTTATAAGTTAAACAAGTACCTCGAGCATGTTTTGTAAAATTTAATTCTACTATTGCTCGGTTTGGTTTTTCTTTCGAGTCCTTATGATTCTAACTTATTTATCCACCATACTAATTATGGCCTTGTTCTTCTTTTACTCTATATTGAGGATATATTTTGTATTTTTGAACTACAATAATATCTTTATCAATGTTTTGAAATGAAAGATCTTGGCCTTCTTAGCTATTTCTTGGGTCTTGAAGTTTTCCATAACTTGGATGGATATTATCCATCTCAAGCTAAGTATGCTTATGATTTACTTACTCAAGATGAAATCACGATATAGCAAGACCGTATCCACTTCTTTGGAAATCAATGTTAAACCGACTCCATTGGATGGTATCCTTTTAGATGATCCCATATTATATTGCTAATTTGTTGAGAGTCTTGTCTATCTTACTCGTTACTCGACTCGATATTGTTTATGTCATTCATTTAGTGAGCTAGTTCATGAGCGCACCTCACTTATCTCACTTTGTTATCGTACTTCAAATCCTTGACTATGTCGAGGGACTCTCTCTCATGGCTTATATTTCTATGCTCACATTTCTCTAATGCTATCTAACTATTCCGATGCTGATTAGGTTAGTGACCTCATTGATCATCATTCCACTATTGGTTACTTGCTTCTTCGGGAGATTCTCTTATCTTTTGGCAAAGCAAAAAACGGACAATCGTGGCTCATTCCAATACCGAATAAGAGTATCATGCCCTTGCCGATGCTACCTACGAATTATTATGGCTCCGCTGGTTGTTAACTCGATATGGAAATTCACCATTCATCTATCACAATTCCGCATTGTGATAATAGGATTGCTATTCGAATTGCTCATAACATTGTCTTTTATGAGCGTAACAAACATACCGAGATTGATTGCCATTTTGTCCGACATCATGTAACTCGAGGCACTTTGCATTTGGTATCTATTTTCTTTGCCAACCAAATTGTTGATATTTTTACCACGACTACTTTCCCAATCACTTTCACAACGTACTAAGAAAACTCAAGTTGGTATCTACAATCCTACCTTGAGTTTGAAGGGGGGTGTTAGCATCATTAGTGGCATGTTAGCTAGCTATATGTTCGACATCATCGGTAGCTATATTATAGGGTTAATGACAGTTAGATTATAGGTATGATGATTATGGGTTGATTCAATTATGATTATACAACTTTTCTTTCTTTTTTAAGGCTCCAATTCGTATATATGTTTGTATAATTCTTAATAAAACATACACACAAAAGTTTTAGATTATAACACAATGCTTGCTAAAACACATCAGTTGGTAGGACAATTCATAAATTGGCATAGTTTGTTGACAACAAAAGCTATGCTCGTCCTTATCATGATAGCATATTGTAGTTCCCCCATTGTACTTTTATATAGTATAGGTCTAGATATCAATTGACTATCATTTTTTGAGAAAATTAGCTTGGTTGGAAGAGGAGTGGAAACTAGTTTCGAAGCCATTGTATTGGTCTTTTTTAATAACTCGATGAGATACTTAGTTTGAGAAATAATTAAGCTAGTTGATTTATATTGAACTTTAACTTCCACAAAATAATAAAATGCTCTCAAATCATGTAAAGCAAACTTGTTACTTAAATTGGAGATGAGTCATGAAAAATTCAAATAGTAATAGATGATGATGTGACTTCTTATGACTCGAAGGAATAAAGGATATTGATTATGAGGATCATCTTTTCTATTCAAAACACTTGTAAAAGCAAGTTTATTTTGTGAGGTGAGAGACTATCCGATGACTAAATGAGTGTTTGAAGAGAAGATGTATCCGAATAAGCTATGGTGTGTTTATGTGAGTGTGAATGAGATAATAAATAATAATATGGTGCTTAAAGAGCAAAGTTAGAAAGCTGAAACCGTTGGTCCTTAAAGCTTTTATAGAAGTGAATGTTATGTCTCATCGCATGGAAAAGAAAGAAAGAAAGAAAGAATAGTTTATTCTCTTGTTGCTAATAATCTTTAACATCAACTTTAGAGACATATGTCCTTGATGTTGATGATTTGCGATTTGACAACTTTTATCATCATGGTTGATATTGTTTAAACAAAAGTAGTCTCAAAAGCGTGCTTTCATTTAATTTTTTCCCCTTAGGTTGAACGTATTGTGCTAGTGGATTGAAAACATCTTCTTTCGGTTAAACATATAGGCTTCTATTGTGTAGACGTGTTGAGATGATCTCAAAACCTTAACAAGTCATTGGTTTTGATCGAGAAATGTCACCAATTGTAATTTTTATGAGACATACAATGACATGTGTCATCCAAACACTATTAATTTCTTCGAGTCCCGAAAAACATGTTTTACTAAGATTGTTATGTAATGATCAAGCTCGTAAAAAAGTGTATATAGCTCTCAAAATGTCAAAATAGCTAGTATTACTTGTCTTGTTTTTTATTTGCTTTTGGTCAATGGAGATGGAGTTCATTGGATGTTTGTTGTTTGGATATCCATATTGTTTTATCAAGAAAATTAAAGGCTTGTATGCGCGGAGAACTTTTAAAAAACATGAAGGAATTGGGTCTTTTGAGGTTTCAGCCCATTAATTAATGTCCATATCATCTAACACCTTGGATTTATTATCAATTTTGATTGGGCCATGCAACTTGGGCCTACCACCTGGGCTCATGACCAAACTTTAGAAAGACTCAATAGTCATTAGGGAGAGAGAGGGGGTAGAGGCCTAGTCGGCCGTTTTGAATTCAAAAGGAAGCTCTCTTCGTCCCTCCCTCCTCCTTTCCTTCCTTCCCACACCACAGTCCACAGCCTTCATATCCATAGATCGATCTCGCTAAAACCCCATGATATGAATCTATTCCTCTTATAGCCCTCCCAAAAAACCCTAAACCTAACCTAACGAAACCATACCTAATGTCCTCCTCCTCACCTATTTCTTACTCATTCGACGACAAAGACCTCGACGACGCAGCATTGTGGGCCGTAATTGATTCGGCGGAGGCCTCTCACTCTTCCTCCAAGTCTCGCAAATACTCCAACTTCCAATCTCCACCGCCCAAACCCTCTCCACCTCCTCCTCACAGATCCCATCTTAATAATATTTCCCCTAATTCCGATCCCTATCGCCGCCCTCATAAGATAGTCAGATCCTGCGCTTCCCCCTCCTTCGTAAGCGAAAGCACCAGCAGCCCTCTCCCTGTGGTTAGGACTCCGATTCTCAAAACTTTGCCGTATTACTCTCCTGAGTCATATTTGTCACCGCACATCGGATCGGAAGTTTCTCCCGTGGCCGTGGAGAAGGAGGAGAAGGATGCTATGATGAGGCATTGCCTGAGTGGAAGGTTTCCAACCGTTTCTCTTTTTAAAGACTATCAGAATGCAGCTATGGCGGTAATTGTGTTGTTTTCTTTTGCTTTCAAGGTGTTTGTATTTTTGCTTCCATGATATCCAAATTTTTGGGGTTTTTTTTTCCAACAGATTTTGGAGAAATCTGATTTCACCATGATTTCTGGGAATCCTTTCATTAAAAAGTCAGGTAAAAAGAATCTTCTCCAGTGTGTGTACTGAAATACTTATATGAGGAACGAAAGACGTTCATTGGGTCAATATGTTGTATAGGTTGGAGGAAGATATCATTTTACTTCAATCTCTCCTATGAAATCAAAGACAAGACCATTGAATTTGATGATAACCGAAATGTTCAGCGTGCAGAATTTGTGGTTCGGGCCTATATGCAGTATGATTTTATGCTTCCTTTAACAATCACATATGTAAATCGATAAATTGGTGGTATATCCATAACTTTCTTATTGTGGTTTTTATTTTCTTTATGCTATTTCTCTCATTACTAGGGGTGGTAGATTCTCTGATGGATGGGGTTCATGTGAGCGGCGTGAGAAGAGATTCTTAAAACCAAATCATGATATCCCAAGTACAGCGGAAACCAGAGCAAAAAATAAAGCCTGTCAGGCATGTCTAATTCCCTAATGGTTTTTTCATGAATTATTTGCTCCCCTTGTTAAATTCTACTTTTGTTTTTTTGTTTTTTTTTGTTTTTTTTGTCAAATAAGCTTTGATGAAGTTAATCTTAGTCCAATTTCCAAAATCAAGTGCTGAATCAAGCTTGGATAAAAGCTTGAACCAGTTAGCTCATTGACAGACTTACTAAATAGGTTTCTTGATGTCTTTAATTCGTGTTCTTCTTTTATTTGATTTTGGGAGTATATTAAGAAGAAACCAGTTAGCAACAGAGAGTATTAATCTCTGTTAAAAGTCAAATATCATTTAGCTGATTTTATTTGGTGTCCTATTTTACAACTTGTAAGTCATAATCAGAGCACATAAATTTTCCGAACATCATAAACTTCCAAGTATGAGTGAAAAACTTTTTCCACGCTGAAGCCATATTTATATTAGCCCATATGAAGAATAGTTTTGTAAATTTCTAAGCAACAGTTTCAAATTTGTCGAAAATTAATTTCATACATCATGAAGTTTTCAGTTTCTAGCTTTGAGTTCTGAATCTTTGTATCATGTTTTCTCTCTTATACTTCTTTTACCTATTCCCAACTTACTGTTCAGTCCTGCAGAAACTTGATTTTGTAAATTAGCAAAAACCTGCATGCGACCATGTATATGTCTGAGTGACAAAACCTTAATGATTAAATGATGGGATGACAGTAAATTACATAACAAAACATACTCTGGGAAGTGCTATGGAATATGTGTGGTCTTTTTTATATACTTTCTGCCTTTATTATGCTTTTTAATTACTCCGTGTTTTTCTGAATTGATCGTAGTTTACTTAAGAGTGCTGGTACTTTTTGTGCTTGTATCTGCCATTCAGTTTAGTCTAGTCTTGTCTCATTACTTAAAGCTCCATGTTGTTCCATCCTTTGCACTAATTGACAATCAGAAGCAGGGTGCTTCAATGATCCAACATGTCTTACTTTTTTTACCCTGTTAAGTTTCTCAGCACCCATATTCAACGGGGATGATTGAACATGAAATAAAATAACAGTACAGAAACACACAATAATGCAAAAATGTTTCATTGTTTGGCAATAGCCTGCCAACATCCATGTCCTAGGCTTTGTCTTAACTATGAGAAAAGACTGAAAACACATTTCAAGAAAAGTTCACTCCGATTTAGTCCCAAACCGAAACTCTTATCTCTTGTACATCAGTCTCACATTCATGAACAAAAACCAGACTCACTGTCTCTTAAAAGATACCATTTATATTAGCCTCGTGAAAGAAGAATAACAGCAGAAACAATGATAATACATGCCTTTCAATGCTGTGATATATATACAGTATAAGTCCTTATTCATCTGGATCCATGTTTCTGTTTTCATAGCTGTTCTATATGAATTTGATTTTTCATGCATGGTGCCTTGTGGAAAATTCACATATAACATCCGATAATTGTTTGCTTCTATAACATATATTGCCGATCTTTTATTCTGAAGGTGCAAACATATGTTTACACATTTGCAGGACCTTCTTGGAATAGGAGAATATCGTCCTGGTGCGAACCAGTTTCACCAGAAAGTATAGCCATGCATTGTACCCAATAGCCATTGTAATCATAAAATTGGCCAGCAATTGTAAACCTCGTCAGATTTTGAACAGATTTAGGAACCGGAAAATTTAGAGAAATTTCATGCTTAATGGACCGAAGATCTCTTGTAATTTGAAGTCATTTCACATGATCTTTTTGTTTTTTGTTTTTTTAAAAAGGATTACAAAGTTTATGGTTTAGTTATACACTAGATTTGTTACATGTGCTACGGATCGAATGAAATACATAAAATTATTTTTAAAAATTATTTCATTTTGATATCTCGTGTTATATTATACGTATATCAAAATATATTAAATTTTGTATTTGACTAATTATTTTTTATGTTTTTCATAATTTTTTTATAAAAAAATTATTCAATAGTACGAAGAATGTTAAAACCAATGGATTTTTAACAAAAAATTTATTTTGTAATGTTTTTTAAACATTTTTTCACCTTAAAACTTTTGATTAAAAAAATCAGAGAAAAAAAGGACTAAGGTGACAAAAATGAAATAAAAAGGAGATTGAATTCAAACAAAAAAAATATTATATGGATTAAAAAAATCATATTTGAAAAAGAGGAATCAAAATGTAAAGTTAGGAAAACTTTTATTATAAATATATTAAAAATGTTTGAAAAATATAAAAATATCATTGCATGGTAAAAAAATGATATTTTGAGTGTGCGAATAGTGAGATAAGTGTGATGAATAGTATTTTAAACAGTGAATAAATAGTAAAATCAAAAGTTTTATTTATAATTTATAACTAGTATACTATTCGTGCCTATTATATAATGTTTTAATATTTTAAATAATTCAAAAATTTAGGCATAAAATAAATATTATCTAACACTAATGGTGAATATATATAATTGACTTCAAACATATTCTAGGAATATTTTTTATTCTGATAAAAAAGCAAAAAAAATCAATCAATTAACTATTTTTTAAAAAAATCAAGTTAGAAGAAGATGCTAAATCAATTTATATTAGAAGAATATCTATATAAAAAAAACCATTAATTATGGAGAAAAAATGTTTGAGTAAATAATAAATAATAAAAAAAAAAACAGAAAAAAAGAAGGCTGGGGTAGGTTTACGCCAGTCTCTTCCATATGAGTCTAGAAACGACCAAGCCTAGGTGGCTGGGTTGAAAGGATAGCCCAAAAATAAAAAATGCAGGGACCTTTTTTGTAATAATAATTATAGTTAAGGATCGTTTTCTATGAAATAAGAAGTTAAAGAACCAAAGTTCTAATTATTTTTTAGAAAACAGCGTTGTTTCAAATGAAAAAATAATGCGGTTTTAGTTTACCGCAAGCCTAGTTACCTTGGAATCATATATCCTTTTAGTATAGTTACTAGATTTTTTATCCACGTTACGTGCTATGATTGGATAAAATATATAAAATCATATAGAAAAATTATTTCAGTTTAAAAATCTATTTTATGATAAAAAATAATTATAATTTTTAAATGAAAAAAAATTATATTTAACTATTTCTTATTTGTGTTTTTAAATTTTAGAAATAAATAATAAAGAAAATAAATTATTGATTTTTTTAAAATTTTAACACCTAATTAATTGCTAGTTCTTTTAAAATTTTAACACCTAATATTATTTAGAAATTAAAATTAAAAAAAATTCAATGTTTAGGGAAAAAAAAAAGGAGGCCAGCCGTTTACTTGTTCATGTCAATAGTAAACGGACGGAAATTGAAAAAAAAAAGAGGGCAAGCCGTTTACCATTCAAATGAACAATAAACGGGTAAAAAAAGAGAGGGGAAAGGCCAACGAGCGCTGGCAAAAAAAAAAAAAAAATGAAAACTTAAAAAACAAAAAAGCCAAAGTAATATAGCAATGAACAATAATTAATATTGTTCATTGCTACGATAAAAATGGTTTTTCTTTAGTATATAGTATTAGATTTTTTACTTGCGCTATCTTGCGGGTTGGATAAAATATATAAAATCGTTTAGAAAAATTATTTCAATTTAATAATCTATTTTATGGTAAAAAATAATTATAATTTTTTAATTAAAAATTTTGTATTTAACTATATATTTTTTTTAATTTTAAAAATAAATAATAAAGGAAATAAATTGTTGGTTTCTTTAAAATTTTAACACCCAATTAATTGTTGGTTCTTTTAAAATTTTAACACTAAATACTATTAAGAAATAGAAATTAAAAAAAATTCAATTTTCAGAAAAAAAAAAAAAAGAAGGTGCAAGCTATTTACTGTTCATGTAAACAGTAAATGGACGGAATTTTTAAAAAATTCAATGTTTACCAAAAAAAAAAAAGAAATCGTTTACTGTTCAAATGAACAGTAAACGGACTGAGGAGTCTAGCAAAAAAACGATTAATGAAAATTATAAAAAAAACAAAACACTATAAAAATAAACAGTAATTGGTACTGTTCATTGCTACAGTGAAAAAGCATTTTGTTTTAGTATATAGGATAATAACAATAATAACGGGGGAAAAATATCTGATCTGTTATATCCCAGCTGCCTCGCATTACATTAAATTTCTCTGTGATATGGGGAGTGGACCTCAATTAAAATTTTATGCTCTACGTAGAGCAAACGGTGCTATTGCTCCTCCAATCGTTGCCTTAACGGTGGATTTCGGAAATTTTATGCTTGATCACTCCTTTTTCTGCAACATATTATAATTCATTATCAAGGAGTAGATGCTGGTAGAGCTTCCCATTGAATTACAAAAAGATCAACGAGCCTGTGGACCAGAAAAAAGAGATGGTGTTCCCTAAAAAGGATGGAAATGCAACGTTGCTTTTCTATACTTTAGCCTTTAAAATAAATAGTTGGTGGTTGTGTTTTAGGGCCAAGGATAACGTGCCTCTTGTAAGAAACGGCTTCCCGATCCGTCCAGCGCGATTTGGAAAAGTATTATATCATCAGCAAGAAAAAGTTGCACGCTTGCACTTTGCAGTGAACTGGCACAACATTACTGAGCCAATAAAAAAGGGGAACACAGAAGGAAAGACCAAGGATAGTTTGGTCATACACCATTGTAGGGTACAGGAAAGTCTGTACTAACTAGTAGTTAAGCCATTTCAATTACCAGTTCCCTTTCACCTCATTTCCGTACAAAATTATTCCAATTCGCCTCCTTTTTTTCCACTCTCTATTCTGCCTGCAGTGTCTACTCAACCAGTCTAAGCAATGCCGCTTAGAAACGGTAACTTACACCTCACTTTCCTTCTCCATCTCTCTCTATCTCTCTCTCTCAAATAGTTGCTTGCTTGCTTGTGCATGTGTGTGTGTGTTTTCCTTTTCCCTTTTTTTTTTTAATTTCATTTTCATTAAACGAGGTAGGTAGTCTATCAGCATGAGCATGTGAGAGTGGCACATTACATTTCTATGTGTTTTTCATTAAAGAATTCTTTCACTACACATGGCAAGGCATAAGATAGTTCTTTCGGTTTGTTTACTGAAAAGCAGAGTTAGTGTAGCGGTAGTATGTAGTACATCAATCAGCACAGTACCCTACTCCCAGTTGCAGGCAAACACTCAACAGCAGTGCGAACTCATGGAGGCTCAACCACAGGTAAATTTAATGCCTTTTTGTCTGTCTGTGTGTGCTCGATATCCATTTCCAAATCTGTAAAGAAAACAAACTCTCATTTTGCAGGAGGATGGGTGGCCACTCGGCCTAAGACCACTGAATGCAAGAGTTGGGCTGGGGAGAAATCGAGATTTCAATGGATCCATTTCTTTTAGCACTTTGCTCACTGCTTCTAACAGCTCCTCTGCTGATTTTTCTTCAGATCTTGACACTGAGGTTAGGTCTTTTAAAGCCCAAGAGAACTCAACCCATCTTTTTATTACATCTCTTTTACCTAAATGGAACCTTCACATATATAGCATTTCTTTCACTCACCTGCTTGAGCTGCATTTCTAACTTCTCTTGTTTTCTGGGTTCATAATCATATCATACTTGATACTTGATAGTGGATACAATATAAAGGAAAAGTGGAGACACCACTTTTTACTCTTTCCATCTGGTCCATTATGATGGCGTTTGACTGTATTTGTGCCAATGACTCCTGTAAAGGGTTAGATGTGAATATATATATTTCCCTACTTCTTAAACTCATTTTGTGCAATTCAATCATCAATCAAGTGACAATGTATGTACGTAGCTAGCTAGGGAGGATGGTAATTGATGCCCATTGTTAATTAATTTGTCATGAACAAGTTACTTTTTTCGCTTTGCTCTGGGATCGCAAAGCAAAGCCTAACAGTTCATAAAAAACTGTCACAAGAAAGCTTTCTGAGACATTTTTACACGTTATATTGCTTCTTGTTCCATAACTATATATTCGAACCTCTTCAGCTTAACCCCAATGTTAATCTAGTTTTATTCTATGGGAAAATTTTTGTTGAGTTGAAGTGTCTTGAGATTTTATATTTGTATCAGTCCCTTGTCAAAGATAATCAATATGCAGCAGCTGATTTTAGATGCATAAACAAGCTCTAAATATTTGAACTTAGTTTTGTGAATAGAATTAAAATTGCACACAAATAACTAACCTAGGAGAATTTTGTTCCTTTTCAGTCCACTGGATCTTTCTTCCATGACAGGAGCATAACACTAGGGAGTCTCATTGGAGTATCTAGCATTCTAGAGCTCTCCAGAAGATCAACTAGGGGAAGGACAGCTGAAACCGTAAGAGACTGCAAGAATTACAAATCAAAACCATGGTTTTGCTCAATATGCTCAAGGCTAAGCACTGATGCCGTTAACACAAACAAGAATGCTCCTTCTCTTGGCCACTTTCTTGAATCAGAGAGGAGAGCTGCTTCCAACATTCACAGAAGGAATATGATATACGGACCTAGTGATTTTTGCCCAATTCTGCCCAACCACGGTCTGAATTCTCTATTTTTGGGCGATGAGATTGCCCCTAGGTCCAGTGTTTCATTGGGGTTAGATGGAGGTAATGGGTATGCAGCTCCATTAATATTTTCATGTTTTTGTGGGCAACTCATTGAATGATGACTTCTTGTGTAACATTTTATATGTTCTTCTGTTCTTGGGTTCCGAATAATCCAATTGCAAGTGTGGGGTTTGCATAACAAAATCCAACCAGTATTTTTTTCAACAACTGTTTGATTTATGGTGATTAGTTCTGATGCTGATTCAAGCACTGCCATTTACATATTACAGTTTGCATCAAGGCTCTCATTCAAAGTTTTGCTCATCAACGATTGGAACAAGGACAAGTCCAATTTTAGCTATTTTGCATGCTATAGTCAACGTCTGAGCTGCTGTTCTTGTGGAATTATGCCATTGTCAACTCACTCCATTATAATTCTATTTATAGCACATTCGAGTAAAGCCTTTCAGGACCAATACACATCCTCTAGCTGAGATGAATTTCTTGCTTTAAAGTTGTCGTAATTTGCTTACTCAGTTGTCTCAAAAACCATGGCATTCCTGATCATTGTGGTTTATGCCATCTTCAGCAACTCCAATTGTTCACGTCCTCAGCCATCTCCACTCTTTGTACAACTGCAGAAGTCAAAGCTTTCATCGCCATAAATATGCAACTTAACTGCGATATACTGAGGCCCAACCACAATCTCAGAGAGCAGGAGCCATTGTTTCTAGCTTTCTAATGCAGATTCTACACATTTTATCAGGGCGACGGGGCACACCTCTGGCTCTTCTAAATGACATTCGCTGAAAATAAAACAGAAGGATAATAGAATTCCCTGTTTTACTTGAAGTTTAAAGGATTAGAAGATAAGAATCAGAACGAACGACAACCCATTCAGATGAAATGCAATCACACTGCAAATGTTACCGTAGTTCTAATCATTAAATGAGGTGTCCAATTAAAGAGAGGAGATGATTAGAGAAGTTCTGCCACAGTATAACTAAAGCTATCATTACATCATTATTATACAAGGTAATAGGCACTACAGCTTGATTCAAATAATAGCTGTTAAAGAAAACAAATCACATCAACAATATCTTCAATGAGAATCTTAAGACAATGATGATTTCTAGGTCTCGTTGAAAAGTTATATAGAATGGCTTCGAGGCATTACTGTTTCACCATGAAAGAACTTTTACAACTGCACCCGCCCACTGCACTTGGATTGGCAGCCACCTACATATGAAACCAGAATTTAGTTCCTGCTATGTAAGAGTGCTAGAGATGAATTGCAATGAAAAATCATGCATGATAATCCAAGCTAGGCACCACAAGTCATCTTCTGTAGTCCAGCTATTACTCTTGTATAATCAACCTCACGCACACATGATGACAAGGCCAGTCCAATATATGGACCTTTTATTCGGCAAATTATAACTCACATATCTTATAATTTGTACAAACTGGCTCTATTTTGCTCAAGCTCATCACCTCAGCAAATTATGTCTTTCAAGGGAAGGAATTGTGCTCAATGCTGCTATGCTAGAAAGCCGGAACAGTTTAAGCCATAGAAATCCTTAAATGACATAATCAGCAACATCTAGAAAAACAAGTACATGATTATTCAAACCATTCACATATCACTCGATAGTCGATACAGACAGGGGCGGACCCAAGTAGAATGCTACAGGGGCCCTAGCCCCTCCCCATCCAATTTTTTTCCCCTTATGGAAAACCCAATGCCATGCTTTTTTATCATCTTTTTTATTTTATCACAATTTTACTTTCAATATGACACCATCCTAATTCATGCTTTAATCGTTTTTTTTTTTTTTTTTGGAGAATGCTTTAATCGGAATTTTAATTAACCTATGGATAACTGAGTGTATTTTTACACAAAATAATTAATTTGAGAGCTTAAATAAGTGTAAAAATACACTTATTTCTACAAAAAAATATTCCTTATGCATAAAAAATTCACCTACGTTCATAGAATATTCTTGCACCTTCTAAATGAATTTTTTTATACTCATTATATAATTTTCAAATACATTTAAAATACTCCAAATAATTAATTTGCACGAAAAAACACTATTCATGCATTGAAAATATTCACCGAACATTAGAAAATTCATCCAATGGCACAAAATAATCTAGCACCCCTCTAGCAAATATTTTATACAAATAGGACATTTTTCATGCAAATCTAAAAAACTCAAAACATTTATTTTGCATAAAAAATTACTATTCATGCATTGAAAAACGAGATAAAATATTCATTCACTACAAAAAATTATCCTAAGCGCACTAAATATTCTAACATCCTCATGCCAACTATCTTACATCCACAGAATAGTTTTCATAGATCCTTATTATATTTTTAATTCATTCAAGGGTTCGAGATATTACAAAAGGTTTGAGGATACTTGTTGGAGTTTTCATCTAAATCTATTTCTGGTTTGATGAATATGTTTAATGCAATTATAGTTGAACATCATTACATAGTTGACATAATCAATATTGTGATAGATTCTCAATTGCAAGAACTAAATAATAAATTCAATAATTACAAAGTAGAGCTACTCATTCTTAGTTCAACTTTAAATCCCAAAGAGATGCATATATCATTTAGGATTGATTGCATTAGTAAGTTGATGAAGAAATTTTACCCTTAAGACTTTGCTGATCATGAAATGTTGCAATTAGGGATGCAATTTGAGAATTTTGATCATATACGAAATCTTTCTAATTTTGGAACATTATCAACTATATTTGATTTGTGTCAATGGTTGATGAAGAAAAGAAAATTTAAAAGTTATCAACTTGTGTATAGAATAATAACGGTTATTCTTACTCTTCTAGTTTCTACGGCTACCATGGAATGATTATTTTCAGCTATGAGTATAATCAAGACTAAGCTTCGTAACAAGATGAAAGGCGACTTTCTTTTTTATTGTTCGTTAGTATATATTGAAAAAGAAATTACTGAAAATTTTAATATAAATTTGCTTATAGAAGATTTTCGTAACTTGAAAGAACAAAAATATCTATTTTGAGTAATTGTATTTTGAGATTATTTTAAAATATATATTGATATATTACTTATAATATATATAAATTTGTATAAATCTTGACAAATTTATAAATATTTATTTTGGCTTTCGTGGATATTTGGTCCTGCGTCTGCCACTGGGTACAGACTTCGATTTTTCTGCTGGACCATATCATATGGTGTGCCTCACTACTTGTGGAAAACCAAATAATGAGCCACATCAACTTGAGCCCTTCGTAGAATCATCTGACCAAGCATCTCAGTTTTTTGGAGCTTGACCAGGTCTAAAACACAAACAACCAACCTATTGCTCCATTTTGATGGCATCCATCCCTTAGATCCTTATCATTTTATTATCAATCACGTTAACTAACAAATCCAAGAGACTGTACAGATGCAGGCACAAATCTCCCTTGCATGCACAGGCACTATGGATGCGTCATGTGGCAAATATTTCCTACCTTAGGCCTAGCATAGGATGCAGACAGTTAAGTGAAGGAACACCCTAACAACAAGAATCCCTGAATGTTATCATCATATAAGTCCGTGTAATATTTTTAATCATGTATATGAAACTTGTACACATCCTCCACACTAGAATTTCAGCAAACAGATGTGCTTGGAGCATTTATATCAAATTTCCAGAGTGCATGGTGATCTCAAAACCCTCCCCCACCACTTGTCTACAATTTTGAGGGAAAAAAAGGAGTATAATCTAGCCCAAATCAAATAGAAAAGGCATGGAAAAGTATTTCGTAGCTTGCTGAGGGACATCTTAAAAATTTACTGAATCCACCTTCCGTCAAAATTAAAAGACCCTGGTTTCTTGACTTCGATACAATTTACAAATACACTTCCCTACATAAATAAAAATTCATTGACAAGAGAACAAGATGAGTGACTTACTATAAAAGCAGAACGGATTAGCTCCTCAACAAAGTCAACAGTAGCCCCTTTCACAAAATCATATGAAATACTATCAACCACCAATCTGACTCCTTCCCTCTCAAAAACTCTGCAACAATACAGTAAAATGATAAAAACATAAGAAAACTAAAAATAGGGAATGCAAAGTCATTTGATGAATCTCACAATTAGAAAGCAAAAACTGTAAAGCAACAGTGCTTGCAAAATTGATATAAATAAAAAAAATAAAAAGAGATCAAAACCTGTCATCTGGATTGGTTTTATCGTCCAAGTCAAAAACATACTGGAAACCAGAACATCCACCAGTTTCCACACCCAAACGAAGCATTTTTTCTTTAGCCGACTCTTCACTGGTTTGCAGTTCTTTCAGTCTCTGTAAAGCAGTCCTTAACTTAATGGAAAAGCTAGAATAAATTGCAAAAGAAACAAGCTGATATGTGTTTGCATATAAAATAAGTTCATGTGTGGCATAGATAAACAGCTTTATTGAAGGAATTTAAAAACCCAACTGATACCAACATGGATACGGTCATGGCATTCCTTTTTTAACAAGGCTGAATAGATTAAAAAAATCAAGCTGCAGGATACAGCACCAGGATTGGTGAAAGATACAAAGGAGGTCCTGAAAAAATTGATACAAAAACAGACCATCCCACCCAAAACTAGAACCAGGAAAACTACTAGGCCCTAAGAGGTCGGCAGGGAATTAACAAAAAAACATCAGTATCACCCTGAGTCTGAAATTATAGCATACAAAAGAAGAAAAAGGGAAACGACAGCAGCAGCACTGAAGCACCAAAACACAAAAACATTCAAGAAAAGGAGTAAACAGGTGCAGCCACAAATGGATCCAACAAAGCCTTGAGATAGGAAAGAAGATGTCATAATATTGAGAAATCTAGCAGCAGCAGCATCATAAGCTAAGAAGTAGATGTTGATGAGCGAACCTAGCATCGACAGCAAAATTTCATCTTTGGCTACCTACCGTTCATATGGGCATAATACTATCTATCTAACTCTTAAAAAGTTTTAAAATGAACCAAACCCATTAACAATTAATAAGCCAAAAAAAAAAAAAATTCAAAACCGATGATCATTATTTTTTTTAAAAAAAAACCTAAAAATATTGTTAAAAAACAATCAAACGAATTATTCATATTACCCGGATGCAATTGTCAGTCAAACGAATGGAATCGTCAACAAAGGAAGAAGTTTCGCGAAGAGCAGAAGAGCTAAGAAGCCTGTGGTTCTGTCGAATCCAAGAAGTGAACAAGGGTGTTACGCGGTTAATCAAAGATGAAGATGATTTGGAAGACATGTCTTTAATTAATTTAATCAATCATATTTTTTTTTCTTTTTGGTATTTTTGTTGGATTTGGTTATTATTTGGAGGAGACAGGAGTGTATGAAAGAAACTATAAAGGAGGAGGCTGAGGCTGAGGCTTTGGCTTGCAACTGCCAAACAACCACTTTATTAGGGATAATATAATAATATGGGATAATTAAAGTCATAATAGCAATAGAAGAAATTTTCTAATAAACAAGGAGTAACTGTTGTATATCGTTATTAGTTATTTTTCAGGTCCATTTTAAGGAGAGAGAAAATAAAAAAATTTGAACGAGATATGGAAATCTTCTTATCACTTTTAGTGAGTATGGATGTAATTTTTTTTTATATATCTATCTCTCTCCTCAAAGTGGACTCAGGAATAATTACTTGTATATGTCACTGAGTTCTTGCTTGTGTATTATAAAATTTTCTGTAGCACCGATAATTGCAATTTTTTTTATTTTTATGGTAAGAGTATTTATTTGCTCAAGGATAATTTCACATTCACATACATTTTCAAAGTTATAATTTTGATATTAATTTTTTATTACATTGGTTGATATTGCACTTATTTATCTTGTAGGGTAACTTGGAGAAGAAGATTTATGCAGTCGGAAGGAAAGATAAAATAAAATTCTGAAATTATTTTTTCCTAATTTGAACATATATACATTGTGAAGAAAAATGGGTTACAGTATATGGCTTATACGTCATATTACTATAAATTAAAAGTTGTTGTTCCTAGTATACAAAAAAAACATAATTAAATAATAAATATTGGCACAATAAATAAATAACTTTATTATAAATTAAAATAAATAAAGAATTTGAAATTTTTACCTTGATTATTAGAAAAATTAATGATTAAAGTCACATTATCTTATTTCATGGTATCAAGATGATCGAACCATCAAAATAATTTTATCATAATTTAGATGGTGCGCTTGAAGCACAATCGGATTGCTTTCTTGAGACGATAAGCGTCATCCGCGGAATTTATTTGATGCAACGGATAAAAAATATATTGCACGTTGTCTCGGGGATACAACAAGCTCAGCTATCTTGTCATGTCTTAACAAGTTTGTACTACTTATAAGACTTGAAACTCTAAATAAAATATAATAACTCTTTTACCCAAAAAATAAAATAAATAAACATTATATGGCTTTATAGTGGGAGATTAAAGAATACAAAAAAAATGAAGAATTATTTTTCTTCACTAGAAAATACTGCTGCACATTTTCTCTCTAATAAGCAAGGATATATTATTATCATAGTCGAGCTTTTTATTCTTGTAGCTATATATATCATCAAATGGCAAGAGCCATTTATATAGAAAGAAAAAGTGTGCGTTGGACACCTTGAATTAATGAAACAAATTAAATAATTTTAAAAGAAAAAACGTTTGTTTTTAATTATGCAATTTAAAGCATCTGACTGTTTCGAAACAATTATGCGTAACTTGCATGGCTGTTTCAAAACAGTCACGGTACTATTTCCAAATAATACTTTGAAATATTTTTTTCTAATATTTTATAAAAAATACTCCAACAAAAGTCATGGAGCTTTGATCAGTTACAATCACTATTCATCCACTCATATAATATTATTCATTCCTGTTGCATTTTTTTTTCTGTTGCCGTGGTTAGGCATCTCTTTTAGCTTTTATTTTTATTTCAGTCCTTATTTTATAATTTTTTTTATTTTGATCATTAAAATTTTATTATATTTTATTTTTATCCTTATAATAAATATTTTTTTCTTGACTTTTAGTATATTTTTTTAAGTTGCTTCTTTTTTTCCCTCTTGCCGTAGCTAAGCCTTTCTTTTGGCTTTTATTTTTATTTTAGTCCTCGCTTTGTAATCTTTTTTTTTGTTATTAAAATTTTATTATATTTGATTTTTGTTCCGATAATAAGTATTTTTTCCTTGTCTTACAAATCACTATTCATTCTTGTAGCAACAAATTTTTTTTTTAAAGTTGTTTCACTATACGTGTTTTTTTTCCTTTGCTTTTTTTTCTATTAACCTAGGTTCTTTTTTTTATTTAAGTTTTAGGTTATTTCATTTTGATCTCTAAAATTTTAAAATAAAAATTTTAATCCCCTAGTTGATGCACTACACGTCTTTTTTTTTCTTTACCTTTTTCCATCAATTTATGTTTTTTTTTCATTTGTTAATTTTTGTAAAATTCTGTTAATTAATTATAACTTTATTTTTTGAAAGACAATATTATGAAAATTATATTTTAAAAATTTTTTAATTCTTGATTAATATTTTAGTTAATTCCTATAGCAAATTTTTTTTTTAAAGTTGTTTCACTAAACGTGCAATTTTCAGTTTATTTTATTTTTGTTTCTAAAATTTTGAAATAAAAATTTTAGTCTCTTAGCTGGTGCACTACACATGTCTTTTTTTTTTTTCCTTTACTTTTTTTTCATCAATTTATTTTCTTTTTTTTCATTTGTTGATTTTTGTAAAAGTCTATTCCTTAATTATAACTTTATTTTTTGGAATACAATATTATGAAAATTATATTTTTAATTTTTTTAATTCTTGATTAATATTTTAGTTAAAATTATTATATTTTTTTTATTTTAATATCAATTCATAAAGAAGAATTATTTATGTTTTTTAAACAAAAAATTTATAAAAAAAACATAAAAAAAAATTGATTTCAAGTTGTTTCACTATACATGCTTTTTTTTTCCTTTGCTTTTTTCCATCAATCTAGGTTCTTTTTTATTTAATTTATTTAATTTTCAAAGTTTTTCATTTTGGTCTCTAAAATTTTAAAATAAAAATTTTAATCCCCTAGCTAATACACTACACATGCCTTTTTTTTCCTTCCATTTTTTCCTTTGCTTTTTTTTTTCATCAATTTATTTTTTTTGTTCGTTTGTTAATTGTTGTGAAAGTTTGTACATCAATTATAACTTTATTTTTTGGAATACAATATTATGAAAACTATATTTTTAAACCTTTTTAATTCTTGATTAATATTTTAGTTAAAGTTATATATATATATATATATATATATATATATATATATATATATATATATATATATATATATATATTAAATCAATCCATAAAGAAGAACGATTTATGTTTTTTAAACAACAAATTTATAAAAAAAAATTAAAAAATTAATTAATTTAAAAAATTTAAAAATTTAAAATGATTTTTTTCCTATTGGACTCGCGAGCATAGCGCGAGCAAATGATTAGTTTTCTTTCTATATTAGGATTCTAGAATTGATCAAATAATGTTGCTAACATGTCCAACTAGTCACTTGTGGTCCAATTATAAAACAAACTAAAAAACTAAAGAGATTTGGGGTTTTTGTAATTTTCGTCATATTTTAGAGCAATTATATGCAAATTATATAATATTTATACTTTTGTCCCTTATGTTTCTATATATTTTCTTTTGATCTATAAATTTCATTTGTAACATATTTTGATTCCTGAATGCAAAGAAGAGAGAGAATGGAGGAGAGAGAAAGTCTTCGACAAGTTTATTTCGATAACTTTGGACAACGATATTTCATTCAATTTGTTTATCTTGGAAAATTCAATTTATTTATGGTAGTTTCAAAGATAAATGATTAGAGGAAGTAGATTAAGATCTTAAAATATTATCAATTTTTGAATTTAACTTGATATTTTTTTTATTTGTACTAGAATGAGTTTTAAGGTTCCAAATATGTTTTTTATTTTAGTGTTTTTAAATTGTTCCGGAAGGAAAAATGATGCATGAGATCGGTTTTCGGGTAAAAAGAAAAATAAAAATAAAAACTCGTTCTTTCACCTAGCTTTAGTTCTCCAAAAGTTTTAGTGGACAATGCGTCGTCTGTTGTAACACAGCAAATGATGCGTCGTTCATTGGTTCTCGTAATTTTTTTAATTTTTTTATCTGGCCAGACAGGTCAACTAGTGCTGCTTCTGCAGCCTTGCTCCTTAGGCCTACAAACCTAGATGATAGGCCTGTCTCTTGAGCTTTTAGGCCCAAATGTGTAGGTCCGGCTTACCTTTTCTTTTTCTTTTCTTCCTCTATTTTGTATTTTTTTCAATAATTGTTTTATTTTTTTTAATATTGATTTTGTGCTAAATTTATGAAAAAATAATTTTTATTTTTTATTTTTCATATAGGCTAGCGATGAAGAAATTTGATTTCTTCTATTTATCATTCCTAATTTATTTGCTTTCAAAATTTAAAAAGAGTTTTTGGATTTGTGTTTTTTTAGGGAAACATTCAATAAATTTAATTAATTTTTTATATCATTTAATTTATTTAAAAAATAATGTCATAACAAAAAAAAAAAATCTCATCCATTTTACAATTTTAATTTTTAATTATTTGTTTTATTTTATTTTATTTCCTTGTTATTTTATCTTAAGAATTTACACACACACACACACATAAGTAAAAAAAAAAAAAATACAAAAAAAAAGGAATACATAGGAAATACAAAAAATTTCATAAATTACATACAAGGACACAATTGCACTAAAAAAAGTGTAATTGAAATAATTAGGGGTACAATTAAATCAATTGAAAAATTCGGAACCTAAATTGCATTCTACGAGTTACCTAATTAATAAAATTGCGCTTTATAAGGACTGAAATTACATCATAAAAGGGCACGAATAATAGGACTAAAGTCGAGCGGATGACGGATCATTTGCTCTAACCCAAAAATTTCTCTTAAGATTGTTTCTCAATCTTTCGCAAGAGAAAATTCTTCCCCATATTACATTTTTTTTTATTTGCATTCATTGTGATTCTTAATTGGAATTGATACCAACCAAGAATCATGCCTCACTATAATTTGTTTCTTTGTTTTGGCTGATCAAATGCCAAATTTTAGCTTTAGGAGTTGCAATTCGAATTGACTAGATTGATCTTGAGGAGAGAATTGGGCAAATTTTTGCCTATCAAAAGATTGTTTTTGTTAGGAAGAGAGGATGAAAAGAAAAGAGGAA